CCATACGCAGTCGGAGTCGTAGACGCCGTCGCAGTCGTCGCGGTCGTCCTTCCCGTCGGCTCCTCCTCCTCTTCACTATCCGATTCATCGTCATCGTCATCATCCCACCAACGACCCGCAAACGACCCCATGCTCCTCATCTCCACATCCCGAACTTTGACTCTCCCCGTCTCTCGCATGACACGACTCTGCGGGCTGAGATCACGCACATACTTGAGCGCGGGGAACGCCTCGCTCTTGACTAGACTCCCCAACTGCTCAAGGAGCGCAAAGAAAGGGTCGTTCACGCCTTCTCCACCTGCCCCATCCAACCCAGCAAATCCTCTCCCTTCACTGATAGCGACTCGATCCCGATACTCGGCCCTCCCCAACGCTTCATGTATCCTCTTTTCGATATCCCGCACACCAATCACCTCTACGGTCGGATGAGCAGGCAATAAAACATGCGGCGCTATCCAATCGGGATTCTCCCAGTTCCACTCTGCGTCGGCTGAACAGATGAACGTCTTCAAGTTCGGACACCATTCTGCCAACGGAACCCTCGTCGAACCAAACCTCCACCCATTGCTCGTATCGTTCGAAGAGGCAGCGGTAGGATGAGGAGGAGCAGTCAACCAAAACTCTTCAATCGCACCCGTCGAATGACCCAATTCCAACTCTTCAATCTTTCCTCCATGTACATCAAAAAAGCTCGCAAAGCCTTCATTCGCATACGAAAAGTCGGAAGCGATGAGTGAGACGTGGCGGATGGCGGGGAGGTCCCAGGTGGAGACGACGAGACAGGTGACGTTGTCGAGTGTGAGTTTGAGAGAGGTGAGGTTGGGGAGGTCGAGGGCGCCTACGGCGGATTGGATGGAGCGGAGGGTTTCGGTTGAGAGTGAGTGGGAGAGGGATTTTTCTTTGTCTTGAGAAGAGGATGATGAGGATGATGTGACGGTTGTGGTGGTCGTAGTTGTGATTGTGGAAGATGTAAAATTCCCTGCGCCGATGAGGGACTCGAAGAATCCTCCTCCGGTTCCTCCTTGACCTGTTACACCTCTCATCAAGTCCTTCGCACAGAGGGTAAGTTCGAGGTATTCCAGGTGCGCAGAAACCATCCGGAGTTTCGGACCAATGATACGTGTGTAGAAGGTCATACCTATTACAATCGCATTAGCATCGACGCTGTATGAAAAGAACCAAGAAAGGAATGCACCAGCTTCAAAATCCCCAGCCTCATACTCATAACTCGTCCAACTCAACCTCCTCAACGACGTCGTCCTCCTCTGCGGACTTATCAACGCGCTCAACAACTGCATATCCGAATCTTGTTGGTGTTGCGGTGCAGCAAAGTACGAAGTCGAACCGCCGGAATCGGCGCGTGTACGTCCAGAGGATGAGCTGTCAAAGACGGTGTTGTTGGTGTTGTCGCCAGCGGTAATCGTAACAGTCGACCCAGAAGGCGACGAAGAGCCTAAACTCGTTCGTGCACTCCCTCCTCCTCCTACAATCGAACTCGAACTCGACCCAGACGAGATAACCGTCGTCATCGACCCTCCCATACTGCCATTCCACCCACTCGAGGACGAAGAGAGAACACAGAACCCACTCGTCCGTCGTATACTCTGGTTATCGGAGAAGACCTGCAGAGCAGGTGCATGCGTGAGGATCGTTAGGAGGTCCTGTGGTGAGCACCGGTCGAGTGAGTGAGTTTCGATGTGTAGTCGACGGATGTGTCGGCCGATGGCGCGGGTATCGTAGGGAAAGGTGTAGGTGCCTGTAGTAGGAGTTGCTGTAGAGCAAGTCGAGGTGGATGGGGACCGAGAGTGGGTGTGAGATGACAATGAGGGTGGTGGAGGTGTTGAATAAGAAACACTGGTGGTAGTTGAGACACTAATCCCTTCGAACCCTGCTACTCTCTCCTTCTCCTTGCCTTTCCCCATCATCACCCGCCCTAACACCTTGCTCTTCGTCGCCGGTTCCACTTCCACACTGCCAACTCCAACAGAGACATCCGCACTTCGAATCGAGACGTCGGACAATAAAGCAGCGAGCAGACTCGCCTCCCTCGCCTTCGTCAACCACACAAATTCAAAAAGGACCTCCTGTCCAATCGCCCACCAAAGCTTACACACGAGCGTTAAATCACACTTCGTGCGCATGCTTTTTCTGTATTCTTTCAACAGATGACCTTGGGTGTGCGGGAAATGCAGAAACGAATGTGATGATGTGGATGTTGATGAGGAACTGTATGGGTGAGAGGATACAGCGGACGAAGCTAAGAATGGGTTGGGCGGGGATGTGGCGTGTTGGAAGATCAGAACCCAGATTTCGGGTGGGAGTGAGGGGGAGAAGGGTTGTTGGTGGGGACGAGTGCGGGTGCGGGTGCTGGAGAGGGTGGAGGTTGAGGGGCGCGTGAAGAGGTTGCGCATTGAGCGGGTGGAACGGAGTGATGAAGTACTGTGGATAGAAAGAGAAAGGGTCAGTGCGAGTGGGAGAGGGAAGGGGAAGGGGAGACGTACATGGAAGTGACTGTTCCTTCTGAATCTGTGAGCGCCGAGTCGAGTTTCTTCCTCCGAGACGAGGATCTTTCGGGGACGTTCAGGATGTGAGGACTGTAGATAGGAGAGCAGACGTACCCCTTTCGGTTCGAAGAACTGTGCTTTGACTTGTATACGGATGGAGGGACGAGCCAGCTGGGCAGCTTGAACGTCTCCAAAGGCGCTGAATGACCTGTGACAGAATCCGAGTTCCTCCTTCTCCCGTTCCCCTGCCCTTGCGCGCTCGTTCCAGCTCTCGACGCTCCTGCTGCACCCGTCGCTTTCTTCTCTGTCTTCCGTCTCTTGAGGCTCATAGACCTTGGTAGGAGACTAGGTCTCGTCGAGGACGTGGGTTTCTCGGACATATTTCACCAAGGGCGTCGTTGGCTGTTCGTACTCGTGGAGGTGGTCGTGTGGTAGAAGGATGAGCCGGGCAAACTGCGCGTGTGTGATATGGACTTTCCCGTCGCCGATAGCCTGAGCAAAAAGGTTGATGCTTATAGCGCTAGCCGGTTATGATACGACCCCTCAAACTGCGCTCGGTGAGATGATTGGGTGTGTTGGCGAGCCGTGGTTGGCGGGTCAGAGCAGTAGGACGTGAGATGCTTGTTTGTCGAGGATGAGTATAGCGTCGAGGAAGTTAGTGGGCTTGTCGTGGCGGTGAGAATGTCTGGTTTAGAGTGGAGGTCGTTATTGTCGTCGAATGGTTTGTCCCTAGGGGTCGCTACGAATTCAACTACCTGGACAATTGTGGGTGAGTATGTCTGCTCAGAAACAATTCCAGCACCAGCGGATGAACGAAGAAGTAAGGAAGCAACCGAGTCACTCGTGGAGCTCGGGATGTGGTGGTTCAAGAAATAAAAGGGTTGAACCCCACAGAAATTCGCTGGACGAATTCCGCCGACGAAAACGATGACACAAGAAACGAAATAAAAACCCACCTGAGGGAAGGCGCTGAGCAAAGCCGACAGACACGATGCTCGCAAACTGCCTCGTGCACACACAGACAGAAAAACGTCGGGGATGGATGGAGGACCCTTTTTCGCCTCGTTGCACTTTCGGAGCTTGCGCGCTGCTCCGCTGTTTTCTTCCACAAGGGTCCAAAGTCTAATTCGCCAGCACGAGTAAAGAGTAAGATGGGGAGAGCAGCAACTGAGCAGGAGGAAGAAGGTCGATGAAAGAAGGGAGAGAAGTAGAAAGCCGTTCAACCGAAGCTTCAGGCGCTCCGACGCCGTGTGAAAAAAACCTATCCAACCTTATTTGGGCAAGACAGCCCCTGATGGGTTTTTTTCTGATCATGGGAATCCCCCCGTTCTTCTCGATAACTGTCACCTCCTTCGAGCCTTTCGAGTCTGGAGCGTTTGTGTGTTCCTGGATTTTTTCATTAAACAAACGACGATCCTTTGTCTTAGCAGGTCGACAGGGCATTCGGCATTGGAATGCCGAATGTGAGCAAGCTATCTGTCCTTTCCGACGGGTATGGGGTGCACGCCCATCGGAGAGTCCGGGGCGCGAAAGCGATAGCCCAGCCTAACCCTCTATACCGTTCCAAGGAGCACCTCTACAAGGGTGTGCCTGACCTTTCGAACATCGACTCTTCTGACAAGCGTTAGAAGGTCTTGGCGCGACATCCCAACAAACGAGAAGCGCTGATAACGATGCCTTCGTGATAGCCTTGATCCCTCTAGAAGGGCTTCCCCATCAGAGGGCGAGCGTATCAGAATAGCTTCGCTGCTCGTACGCAAGCATTTATATGTCCATAGATGGAAATGTGGTCACCTACATCGGTATTTTCTCCCGCACGATTTGGTGAGCGCAGACTTCTATCGCACCCAGGGATGTTGAGAGTGGTCTGATGACCCGTCCAAGACGGTGCTTCAACCTGGAAGGCGGCCGCCATATCTGTACGTAGTTGGCACCAGACGATCCTTCCAGGTACTATTCATGTAGCACCTGTTGCTTCAGTGTGAGGGGCTGGAGCAAAGATAAGCGCCCATCTTGTCCCCTTGTCTTTCGACGTCTGATAGTGCCTCCACGATCGAATGATCCTCACCTCAATTGTCTTCTTTGACGTTCTCAACCAAGAGCGGGGGCACATAACTTACCCACTGATAGACTTATACAAGTATTCTTGCAACGCTTCACAGAGTTTCTTGTTGTCTTTTCAGAAGCAGCGCGAACGAATCCCTACTTGAGGAAGAAGGGGATAGCAGATCCCAATCATCAGCTCTCTTTTGCCAAGGCCAGAACCAAGGCCCTAAACGTCAATCCTAACAAAGGAAATGCGGATGAAGGGGGCGGTCTTGATATTCCTCTGAAAGGGCTGAACTTATTGTAAACCTTTCCTGTTACAAATAAAGCCAATGCGTGTCCTCGAACTACTTAAAAATCCAGCCGTTGACTGTAGCAACCTTTCATCCAGGTGACGTTTTCTTTTCCTAACTGTGCAAAGGAAAATGTCTTTTTAACACTTGGTGCAGATGGGACCACCGCGGATCGAACGCGGGACATTTTACTGTAGAACTTCAGTCTACTACCGCTCCAACTGAACTATGCTCCCATTGCTCAGCCGTATTGACACGCTTCCCGCTAAGCGTCGAGTTTTGGATTGGATGGTTTTGGCGACTTGAAGCGCTGATAATCAGTTGAGGGTAAGTTGAAGACGGTGACCTGGTACTGACAGTTTCGTCCTAGATCTCCACCAGGAGTTGTAAGGCGCTAATTTGGTCTTTAATGTTTTCCCTTCACTCTCCCATTTTTCAATGGAGGCCGAAACATTTGTTATTCAAGATGTAGCAGAAGACGAATGTACTGTGCCACAGAACCCAACAATTAGGGAAGTGATAAGACTCAGAGTCACCTCTGAAGGTCTCGGGCCACCCAAGTCTGATGAGGTAGGAGAGACGTTTTGGAGCTAGCTTGGACACTTCCACAGCCGTAGTGTGAACTCCAGATAACGTGTAAAGCCATCGTTCCTTATCTAGTCTCCAGCAAGAGGTCATGTGAGCAAAGGTGCTGTGAATACAGTGGTGAAGGATGTAAATAGAGCACGCCACTTGCATCGGTTTGTGAAGAATCAAGTTAGGAAATCGCAAAGCTACTATCCCAGTGGGTTAGGCCTTGTGTGTCTATCCTAGGAATGCAGCGGGAGGGTTGTTGAAGACTCTATTTATTCTCGAAACATCGTCGAAAGTCAAGAGACATCCATTGAGAGACATAGTGAAAGGGCTGATGATATCCTACGTAGTGAGAATGCAAACTTATTAGGGTGATGCCCTCCCATCGACAACTGATAATATAACTGAGAGCGAGGCGGACTATGAGAGAGAGGGAGAAACGGAAAAACATGAACAGAAACTACCATCGACCAGTGGAGTTTGAAGCCAAACAGTCACTGCCGGGATTTTTTGTTACGCTCCGATGAGCACAGAAAAGAGGGAGAAGAGCAGGTCGAGTACCATTCACGGGAGGGCACGTTCAGTACTCGAGCACTCGCTTTAACCCCCATGGGCAAATAAATCGACAAGCGCCAAGACATCTGACCCGTAGATAGTCTGGTCTGTCAAACCATCAAGCGTCGGTCTCTTTCTGGCTCAGCCTGGGCTCGGTGTTGGCGTGCCATGGCCGTCAGTTACCAGTAATTTGCATGTTGACCCTTTATCGCCGATTCACAGTACAAACGCGTCACTAACAAACTGGAATAAGTAATCTATCCTGCCATGTGTCACTACCCAAGTATCCTGTGTATCACTGCCCTATCCTGTATTACCTGAAACGGTCACTCCCAGTTACCCTGTCCCAGCCACTATTCTGTCCCAATTAGGATTCAAGATCTATAAAAAAAAAGCCGTATCGGAAGCAGATACAGTCTGGTCCACCCATCAGATGGTTCGCGATTTTGAGCATTGATATGGTACTCACGAGAGAGGGTGAACCATTGACGTTGATCGCCAATAGATTGTACTGAATCGTTGTGGGGGCGTCACCATTGGCATACGTTCCTCCATTGATTGTTAATCCGTTCGATCCTTGGATGATATTCCTGTGGTCTGTGAAACGAGCGAGGAAGCCATGAGCACTCAGTATGCCTTCTCTGCTTTTGGAACAGCACTCACGGGCGGTACCACGCTTTCCTTGTCTTCCTCGTGCCATTGAGTTGCGAAAAGGTTGTTGGACAGAGCTCTCGCTCTCGATGGGTTGGCTTGTGCAAAGGTAGATTCGGGAGGTTGGGCGAGGGTCAATTGGCCGACGTGTGGGTGGACTCCAAAGAAGGGTGGGAATAATGCGTCAAGGTTCATCCAACCCACATTCAATTGTTGTAGCACTACAGCTCTTTCCCCCCAGTGATCAATTCCGTCTTTACAGCAACACAGCAATAGAAGCCAGAAAAGGCGCTCAGAGAAGCGCTCAGAGAACTAGCGCTGAGCATGTCGTGGTTAATCCAGTTTAATGTGGCCGAGCCGCATAAGCACAGCCCATCATGTACTACCAGGTGTCTTGTAATGGTTGTATAGCTCGTATAGTGTCGCCCGACGTTCTGCGCTCAACACTCGGTGTTGATCTTCCTTTTGCTGTTTCACGATCATCTGCAACTAAAGGATTCGCAGCAATGCTGAGCACCGTGTGTGACTGGCTTTGCCTGACGATTGCCTATTTGATACCTAATGGTATGTGTGGCGATTGGAATCAGTTGGCGTGGTGTCACGATACCGAACACCAACACTTGCAGGTCGGCCCTGGGACAATGCCAGGTTCAACCGATCCTGCGCGCATCAGGGAATCAACACTTAGAGAATGGGTAAACATAGTGATCACCCACTCAACGATGGAGAAAGCATTATGCAAAATAAAGAATCGCCCTAGGCTCGGGAATTTCTTCTAGTGCGCCGAAGCTCGAAACATTCGGGGGTTGGCAAAGACGGTAGGATTCAGAAGGGGTTAATGCAAAGTAAGGAATGACCATACGACGACGACGGAAACGAAAGCGAGGTCGCTTGCCTCCGCACTCGACCCAAGCCTCTTCCACCCTTCAATCGAACTAGAACCCGACCCCGACCAAAAACCGTCATAGCTGACCCTCCCATACTCCTATTGCAACTTGAGCCCCGCATGCGACTCGACGACAAGAAAGTGAGTGCTCTGGTTATCTTAAAGCACCTCCTGAAAGGCGGGTGCGTGTGCAAGGTCGTCAAGAGATCCCGTGAGGAAAGACGGTCGAGTTGACGTGCCTCGATGTGCACAGGCCAGATGCGTCGGCTGATGGTGTCAGTGTCGTATGTGAGTGTATATGCGCCTGTACGAGTTTCAGAGGAGGTAGAAGGGGAGCGAGAGTGGGAGTGAAACGATGATGGGAGAGAAGAGGGGGTAGAGGAATATGAAACGTTGGTGGTGGGTGAGACGCTGCTCCGGTCAAAGCTCGTCTTGGGTGTACTTCTCCTTGCCTTTTCCCGTCACTCGGCCCAGCAACTTCGCAAGTGAGAGTTGGGAAAGCCGACAGATGTGATCCTCGCAATGTGCCTTGTGCACACACAGAACAACATCAGTCCTCCACGGGATTTGTTGCGAGCGGATACGATCACACGAAATCCATCATAATCCGCGTCTGGCGATACAATGTCGATTACTCGGCTATATTTATATAGCTGAGTGTCTTTTATAAACCTGGCGCGCCAAAATCTGACCTACACTTTCGTGTGCCGTGGGAACGAGCTTCCTTCTTGTTGAGTTCGCCATCACCACCCCGTCTTTGTCGGATTACTCCTGGCGCGTTTGGCTGTCGTCCTTTATATTTCCTTCGACGTTGCTCTCTACGGGCGTATGCAATAGAAAGCAACATTCATTTGGGTAAAATATTTTATGTCATTACTTTAGATGGTAGTGAATACCCATTGGCGTCTGCCGTTCATGTCCACCCAACCCACCTGCGTAGCTGCGCGTTTCGAACGTCCTCTCCTTATCATGTCGTCCCTTTCTTCGCCTTGGAACACCATGCAAAGACGCCACTGAATCGATTCCTTGACGTCCTGAACTTTTCCACCAAGCTGAAACGCCATGGACGCCTCCATTCCGTCTCCTACCTTCCGAATACACCTGGTACAGTACGGGTTTTTTGCCTCGACAAGCAGTTTCTTCGCGTTGGGGAGCGTGATCCAGGTCGGGCGCTCCGAGAAGCAGGCAGGTGGATCGTGGTGCTCCATTTGCGTGCAGTACTCGAGTAGATCAAATCCCCTCTCCCTGTACTTCTCGATAGCTTCAACTCCTTGCGCTGTTGTTGCGTCCTGGATTAAGTTGATTATGCCTTCGTCGCCGTTAGTATATCGCTTCCCTTGTCTGACTTGCCACTCACCCTTGTGTTCGTTCGTCAGTGCTGGATAGAGGCAAGTAACCCCGTCGAAGGATATCCAGTTCATAACGCAGGTGTTGTGGAATAGGAGGATTGGGGCGACAGACGACTCGTTCTCTGACTGACAAACGTTGACTTTGCGACCAGCGGCGTTGAACAACGTGTGTACCTTCTCGATTGCGCCGTTGCGCGTGTAAGCGTCCTCTTCTTCGGCGTCGACATTCGCCGGAGCCTCTGTAAACTTGCATTGCTTAAGGAACTTGATGACGTTCTCGCTCTGGCTGTTGGGGGTGATGATGTCGATGTCTTGATTGGTGAAGTCGCACTCGACTGACGCGACCAGAGCGGTAGAGCCAGTGACCCTGGAGTCAGTGCATCCCAGCATCTGCTTCGTTTCGAGAGGTGGGAGGCCGGATCGCCTGAAGAGTGCGTCGACGCGTTCATTGAGGTGTCGACTGGCCATTACGTAGATGCCTATCTGCTTGCACAGTGCGATTAGACGATCGCTTTTAAGCCCTGCGAAAGCGAAGTGTAACGCGTCGAGGTGGTCGATTCCCAACGCTTTCAAGATGAGATGGCGTAACTCTGCTGGGAGTTTCGCCCATCCGCGGACTGCGGTTTTGCACGTTAGTCGTAGCTCGAACCGGACTTTGATCCACTCACTGAATGTTATCCCTTTTCGTCTACCCATGTCCTTGCCACCAGTTGACATCCGGGCGTACAAAACGTCTTTGGCGTACATAGTGTAGCCCAAGCTGGCGTCGATGTTGCGAGTAAGAAGATTTTGCCAGACGTTCCTGTCTGCTTCTGCTGGAACCTCCGCTCTGCTAACAACGCGCGCTTTCTTGATTCCCTGAGAATATTCACTGCCTATGATCTCTTCAATTTGATTTGTTTCGTTCCCCATCTGCTCGTTACTTTCTTTCGATCGCGCTTCACGATCATCGGTTGCCCGTAGTCTCAGTCGAGCTCCATCGCCATCGCTTGTTCTCGCTCGGCATTGCGATATTTCACCCTTTTTGTAGGGCACCGTGTGGAATCGCTCCTATGGCCTCCTTGATTTTCTTGGTCATTCGCATCGGGCCTCTCGGTGTATCTATCAAACCACGTTGATCTCTGATGCCATTTTGGCTGAACATTGTCTTTTACTCATGCTATCCGGTTATCTCGGATTCCCGTTCAGGCACGTCCCACTACCCCAGGTTTCACCGTCCTCC